CCGCCCCGCGGCCGCCACGGGGCCCCCCCCCCCGCCGGTGCCATCACGACCCGGCCGACCTTGGAACCTAACACCCAGCCGCCGGGTACCCAAACCTCTCTTTGCCTTCGGCGGTGAGCGGGGGGGTTCAATGGCTCCTTGTTTTATGTTTTATGGTTATATTGTTTACATTTTTGATGAGGGGGGAAAAAAAAAGATTAAAAAAAAAAAAAACTTACCGACCCATCTTTTTTGTTTGGCCTAATCGTGCCTCGCGTTGTATTTCGCTCTCGTGTTCTGTGCATACGTCACAGGTGAGTTTAGTGATACGTCCTTCGGTCGATTCATACGAAAAATCAGACTGGCAATCCCATTTCTTAAATGTCGTAATTAGTAGACCTTTGTGAGTTTTTTTAGCCGCCATCTCAAACTTTCATCCGCGAGATTCCAGTTTGCTGACTAAAACAGCAACCCGCATGCGCACAAAACGTTATCTGTTCCATCCCCCCCAACACTGAAAACAAAACAAAATGAAAGTAAATTACAATAAACACACTCACACACACACCACAAACACCCATAAAGGCACAGTGAAATTGCGTTGATCACACAGGAGAGATTCGATCGCGTACAGTCAACTCGTGTGCGGTGACTTTTATGGTTAAACGATTTTTCGGTAACGTCAAAATGGCGCCACGGAAAGGACATGCTGCCGGTAACGATAGTTACTGTGAAATCCTCAGGCCTGCCGTAGTTTTTTTTTTTGTTTTGTTTTGACTGAGAAATTTCCTTGCGTCCCAAAAACACACATTATTTGGAAATGTGCGTCCCACGGGAAAATTGTGCGTCCAGGACGCGGGACGCAGAGGTAACGAGATGGCTGCGCACGCGCGCGTCTTTTGGCTTCAACCAATCAGCGCTGATGCAACGGACGTTATACATCAAAGAGCTTTGATCTACGACACCAGCTAAGCTAGCCTAACCGAGACAACAGCTAAGCTAGTACAGTAGACACGACGCTTGAGGTTGGACTGACATGTTTTTTGTCATCTGTATGTTTTTCTCTCTTTTCTGTCCAAATATATATTTTTCTACAAACAATAGCTGTCTTGTCCACGTCTTTTTTCGTTCCAGCGCGGTTTAGCTAGTGTATTTACAAAGAGACCAAAATCTCTTTTGTGGCTAGCCAGCCCTTTTCCGAACCACGAACACTCTCCTTCGCATTTTTCCCCTCACGTGGCTACCCCATTGGATTTATTCTCCCACTTCACTCCCCTCCATCTGCGACATGGCCAACATGGACGCCTTCCAGCAGCTCCTTCTGATGCAGCGCCTCATGCAGTACCAAATCCGGGCGTTACGAGCCGAACTCCGGAGCCGTAGCAAGGACCTAAGCCACAGCCGTGAACAGAGCGTGAGTCACGTCCGGAACAGAGCGTGAGTCACGGACGTGACAGCAGCCGAGAGCGCTCCCCCTCCCAGGGCGGGAAACGGACCCGCCAGGAAGTGAGTACGTCACTCAACTCTCCTGGCATCTCTGCTGCGAGCCGCATCCTTCACGTCCTCGATCGGACTTCTGGGCGACACTTCATGGTCA